CAGCTTCTGCATATGACTGTCAAATTAATAACACCATCCAGCCCACGTTCCACTGCTTATTTAATATGGACCATCATATCTTAAGAAACTGTTAAATACTTTACTAAAGCCACAGTGCACCATAGCTATTCCCTCATCTCTCTGTTCTAGTAACGAACCACCCTATAAAACAGGAAATGAGTTCAATTTGATACCATTAGGCTGACTTCTGGTTTATCCTGACATCCTACAGCCACACGTTTTTAAGCAAAGAGTCCTTCACCTTTGACTTCTGTTAATGTCATAACAGCAACATTTTAAGTAATCAGCTTGTGCAAGCTGCATAAAGCAGGGCGACGACTATTCGGTCCCACTCACCTGTAGCTCACCTGGGGAAATGCTCGGAATCACTGCTGGTTATGGTCTTGCAGGGTAAACCAAACTGTCCCTAGACCACACAGACCTGAATTTACTCATTTCAGCTGGTCCCAAAATAAGCCTAGTTTTCCAGGGGTCGTTTGCACTAACACCTGGGTTTGAACCAATAATTCTGCGGTCATTTTGAATCCTGGATTATGAATCTCTGGACCCTAGAGGCCTCCCCCTTGGGGGTATCCTAGGAATAGGGAAGTAAGAAATGACAGAGCCCCTCTCTTTGCTGTTCCTTTATTACTGACTCATATAACCAAAGATCCTGAGACTCTAATGTCATATGACGTTTGACAGTAGTGACTCACATCTTACCAAATTATTACCCCAACATCATTCTCAGAAGATATGTGCCAGGAGCCACCATCTACCCATGCCAGCCAGAAGCAGAAACCGGAGCGCTTGAGAGATCTTGGGGTCACTAGAAATTGGCCTCACAATACAGAATAGAGCCCAAAAGCCCTCTCTAGTTAGTACCATTCCAATCAGAAAAAATATTTCAAAGTCCTAGCCAGCAGCAACTCAGAAAGTGCCGCTGACCTGCCTAAAACAAATCACTCGCACACAAATACCTCAGATTCCATCATGTCACACTCCCAGCCACCCAGAGCCAGGACAGCCATCCCAAATTCCCTTGGTTGGCATTTAAGTCTCTTGAAAGATCGGGTCACAAACCCAAAGGCCTGCAGACTAAACAGGGAATGTAAAGAGACTGCACTCATGCAGAGGGAGTGCCGGGACTATGATAACTGGGGACCACAGGCCTGTCTCCTGTCCACATGGGGCCACCACTACTCACTGCCTGATCTGATTCTTTAAGAGAGTCCCCAATCCAGAGGTTTTCTGGATTGTCCCCAATTTTTTAAAACCCTTGTATACTCCAAATTGGAACAGTTCTGTAGGCAGAACACATTCTTTGGGTCACTGGTTTACAACCCCTACACTTTGATCCTAACCCACCTTTCCAGACCAGCTTCTCCCCACTCTCTAATAAGAACCCTCTTTTATTCACTCTTACACACACTGTGCACATGGTACACACCCCCCGACCTGTGCGGCACCATGCGACACCCCGAGTTCATCCCAGATTTCCTTCCCTATCCCCAAAAGTGTTCCCAAGCCACTCCAGCACAAGCTGCTTGCCCCCTCCTATGAGTCCTACAGGGACTTATTTTTCACTTTGGCATTTAGTCATCTTGCCTTGTTCCTTAATCATAGGTATACCTTCTCTCTCCAACTAGCCTGTAAATGTTCAATCTCTGCCTTATGCTTCCTACCACTTACAGCACTGGTAAGGGGAGCCCTGCACACAAGCAGCTTAATAAACACTTACTAGATGTGAAAACTCTATAACTGTGTTTTTCAAACTGTGGGTTACATCCATGACAGAGTGGTTAAGTCAACTTAGCAGGAGACAGTAAGCATTTTTAAATGAAAAATAAAAGAATGGAAAATAAAGAACCAAAGGAGACTGCACCAAGCAAAAGAAAGGAATACTTCAGGAATTTAAATTAGATTTTTATATACATGATTTAATGTACCTAGGTCATGATGTAAATTTTATTTCTTAATATAGGTCACAGACAAAAACAGTGCAAAAAAAAAACAAAAACTACTTTTTAAAGAGTAAATTATTAGCTCAACCACTGCTCCGTGGAATTTTTTTGACAGTCATATATTCCCTATAAAGGAAAAATATCTGATGGACGCCTCTGCCCATGCAAGGCAGCTTCCCCTGCTAGTTCACTGATCCTGCACCTCAGAGAAACAAGGAGGCTCAGGAACTGTTAAGTACATTCTCCACTCCATTCTGCAACTTTTTGCAATCATCCTCCAAATTCACCAGCCCTCAGATGTTGCAAGTTGAGGCTTGGGGAATTTGCTCAGCAAGTCACCCTAAGTCACCCTTGCGACAAGAAAGCGGAATTCAGAGCTCAGGAAGAAACCGGCGCCAGCTCCCCACTGCAGGTCGCTTGGTTCCTGGGAACCAGCAATGGCACGGGTTAGGACAGACCTCGCCCTGGGACAGGGAGTCTCGCTAGGCCCCAAATACCCTCCTTGCTGGTCACCTTGCTGCTCCCCCATCTTGTGGCTTCCCCCCACACACCTATAAAGGGACACCAGGACTAGCTTGCAGGTCTCAGTGGAGAGCATTATTCAACTTGTTTCAAAGCCCAACAATTTCTGCATTTAGCAAATTCCGTTCTTCCCTCCCATCTCCAAATCCCAAGTTGCTCTGCCAACTTCAGGTTCAGGACCTGGCAATGTCATCTGAATGGCAATACAGAACAGAGTCTTCCAATTCAGACTCTCGGTGCCACTCACTAGCGTCCTCTACTGCTAGGACCTATGACCAAGAAATCATCCCACCGGCAGAGTGCCTGCCTTCCCTCTCCCAGCTTTGGCAGCCCGGTTTCCCACCAAACTCAGAGCTTCAGCTGCTTGCAAGACACCTATGTTTGGACATCTTGGCAAATACAGAGAAACCTCTGCAGCTTGTCAATTGCTTCTCTCCAAAACACACATTTCCGATTTCTCGGGTTACCAACTACAGAAGTTCCACGGCCCTGGCGTGTAATCAATTTCCACAAAGAATTAATTTCCATTCATCTCCTTCCTTCACCCTGCCCCTGTCAACAGATTATTTCAACAGTAATGCTTCTAAAATCCACCCTCTTTTCCATTTCCAGTTATCCCAGTCCAAGCTCTGAGCACTCCACAATTTTAACAGTCGACTGATCTGTCTCCGAACACTACTTTTACAAACCTTTCCAAACACCCTTTCGTTACGTCACTCTCTGGCTCAAAAACCTTTCATGTCTCCCCAGTACACACAGGGTAAAGTGCAATTCCCCAGTCTGGCTTTCTAGGACTTTCACAATCTTAGCCATTGTTCCTCTCCATCTTTATCTCCTGCTCAGGAAACGTTCCCTCGCCTGGCCAAGCCCATCTCCTGTCTCTCAGGAAAGCCATGTTCAATAGCACCTCAGGACCCATCTCGAGGGTCTCATCCTCCAGGAATACAGTGCTGGTGATTCCTGCCCATAGACCTCTTCTCTGAGTTTCAACAGCATCTCTTCTACACCTCGAATTTTGACAGTTAATTGTGCCTTGAAGTCTTATTTCACGTGCTCAAGGCTTTCTGTCTCCTTCACGAGATTATAAACCCTGGAAGGAATCATTTCAGGTATCTTTTGCATCCTCCCTCACCGAGATAAACTGTTGGAACCAGTCTCCTCTGGCACCTGTCAATTCTCCCTCTCTTGCCTTTGGGCCTTGGCCAGTGAGTTATTCTCCAGGTGCCTAACTTATTTCGTAACTTAGTACCCTCAATCCATTCCCCAACTCTAACCTTTCCTTTGATATTCCTCCTCCCCCCGCCCCAGCATTTACAGTAATTTAGGCAGCCATAGCACATTAATTTGAACTTGAGCTCTCAAATCACTTCCACCCGGTCAGTAGGATTTCTGAGGCCTTAAATTTCTTGCGTGCCTCTTATCATCTCTCCCTGAGAGCCCGGCACGGTGCTGAGAACGCAGCAGCCCCTCAAAAGTACCTGTGGAGTTGAACTTAATTGCAGTTTCCCTGTGTTTCAAGTTCCTTGAGACCCGGAACCTCTGTTTACACAACACCTCAGGAGGGTGTCAAAAAAGCCTTCAATACCTGTTGATCACTCACTTTCAGGCAAACTGCACCAGAGACACTTTTCTAGAAAGAGAAGTGTAAAGAAGAGAGTGGTGGCCTGTAGGTAACCCTGCGCCTGGAGGCCTGACATCACGAAAACGCCTGCCTGGTGGAAATGTTCCAAAGCCACGGAGAACTGCCCAGGACTGCCTGAAATCAAGGAGGCAGTGGCACCCCCACCGCCTGGCAGGTGGGCTTTAGATTTCGGAGTCAATCCTAAAGTGAAGGCGCTGAGCCCTTAACTCCAAAACAGGGAAGAAAAATCTGCCTTTGAAATTGTTTGCACATGAAAAACTCCCATCCAGGCCCCCCACCCGAGCACCCCACATGCCCACAGTGCCGCTTCCAAGGAGGGCCAGGGGCCACCAGTGAGGAGAGGCAGGATTAAACCGCCTGGAAGGAAGTGGGGGTGGACAAAAGGGGCAGAAAGGGTGGGGGGCAGCCCCCCGAGGTGGAGGGTGTGTCGCGCCGCGCGTCCCGGAGCCCGGAGCCCGGCGCTCGCTCGCTCGCTCGCTCGGTGGAGTGGGCAGGAACGCGCGGGGCGCCGGGAGGGCTGGGCTGCCAGCCCAGCCGGAAAGGGTCAGGGAGGGGGCAGGTCAGTCTCCGTCGGAGAGGCGACTCCGGACAAGCGCTCGAAGTTGGGGAGGGGGTGCCTCTGCGAGCGCCCGCGGCGGGCAAGATAAACAAGGCGGCGCACGGGAGAGCGGGCGGCCACCCCCCACCCAGCCAGCGCGGGCACTGGCACTGCCGCAGCGCCCCCGCGCCCCGACCGGCCGCTAACCCGGCGGCGCCCGCCTCCCGGGCCCTCAGGCCGCCGGTCCGGCCCCCGCGGGCGTGCGGAGCGTGGGAAGTTCCCGGGCCGCCCCCGTCCCCGGGCTGCAGCGCCGCGAGGTCCCCGCGCAGCTCACCTCGCCCCGCCACGAGCAGCAGCGCGGGCCGGGCAGCTCCCGCTCGGACAGCTCGGCTTGGCTCGGGGCTGCAGCTGCCGCGGCCCCTGCCCGCCCACCCGGCGCGGCCCACCGCCCCGCTCCGCTCCGGCTGCCCGCCCGCCGAGGCTCCGTTCGCGCCCACCTGGCCGGCCTGCCCTCCCTCTCCGGGACACTGCGCTCACGTACGCGGCCGCGGCCACAACCCGGCCCGGATTCCCCGCCCGGGAAGGGAGCGGAGGAGCGCGCCAGCCAGCGAGCGAACGAGCGAGCCTCGGGGACACACCCCCGCCCGCCCGGCCCCCTCCCCAGCCACAGGCGCCGCGCGCGCACGCGGCCTGCGCGCCCCCGCCCGGCTCGCGCCCCCGCGGCCTCCTCACACACCCACCGCGAGCCGGGGATACACACCCCCGGCCCGCTCGTAGACAGTGGGCGCTCAATAAGTGCCCGAGCGACTCCTCACGCACATGCGCACTTGAACCTGACCGAGTTGTGACACCCCCCCCCACCCCCACCCCAAAATCGGAACCGGTGGCTGCAGCCCCAAACCAAACTTGAGTGTTTGCCTTTTTTCACTGACCCGCAAACCGAGCCAAAGTTTCTTGCTGTTGTTTTTCCAGGCCTGGCTTTGGGATGGGCTTCTCCGAGAGAGGCCGAGCTCGCCCCAGGGCGGGAAAGGAAGCCGGAGAGCTGTGGGCGCCAAGGACGGGAGTTTGGCGGGGGCGATAGAGACCCAGGCCGCGCAGCGGCACCCGCTCCGAGCGCAAGCGAAAGCGCGAGAGGGAGGGAGCGTTGGAACCAACCTTTCCATCTTCTTTTTCGGTTAATGTTTTCTTCTCCATTTTATGACATTTTACTCGATTTTTACCCGTTCGTAGTTGTAAAGTGAGGTGTTATTTACTCTTTCTGGAATTAAATGAAAGAAAGTTAACTATTAGCTTTCAGCCCTTATGTAAACGATACCAGTTGCTTTTGGCACCGTTAGGCTCTGGCTTTTGTATAATTTGTAACAAGGAGAATTGAAGCTGTTCCATTGTGTTGCTCTATGTTTTTCAGAGATAAGACCACAGAGTTACAACGGTAGTGAGGGGCCCCAGTGTCTATAGGTATGGGTAATATACATTTATACTCAAGTAAATGTAAGGAATAGAAGAAATAATTCCCCTCCCCCCAAAAGTTTTAAATAGCTTTGGACATACTTGTTGCACTTCTTCAACTTGAGGTATGCTGTTTTTCTTGCAGAGAGGCAGTGGGGTGTGTTCTGGAAAGGACTAAACTTTGCAGTCAGACAAGCCTGGTTTGCAATCCTGATTTTACTGCCTTATCTTTGTGCTAGCAGATTTTTATCTCTCTGAACCTCAGCTTCTTTATCTGTAAGTTGAAATAGAAAGCATAGGTATAGTGCCTAGCTCATACCAAATAAGCAATAAATATTGTTTCCTTTCCCTCTTCTCCCACCATTAGTTACATAAGAAAAATATCAAAATAGAACCAAATTCTTATAGGACATAACGTTTTCAACTGGGGGCGATTTTGCCCCCAGGAGACATTAGCAACGTCTGGACACAAGGGGGGGCGGTGGTTTACAGAGGAGGGGAGAAGTGCCGCTAGTATCTAACTATGCTGCTAAAAACATCCTGCAATGCACAAGACAGCCCCACACAACAAAGAATTACCTGGTCTAAAATGTCAGGAGTACCACTGTTGAGAAATCCTGCTATAGGATAATTCTGCTCTCAAATAGTTCACCAAAGACTGATTCTACCTTTCAACTCTCATCCTCAAGGAAACATTTCTTGTTTTGAATTTAAAAGAACGAGAATGAAGCCACGGTAGGGATCACAGCAATTCTATTAATGCCCAAAAACCTTTCCTTAACATGAAAATGCAGATTCGAATTTTACATTTTATTGAGAGTATTTTAGCTAATTAACAATAACGTATGCTCCCTTGTTCTTAAGGTATTTTACATATTATGTATTACTACGGTTTATAAATAGTTTAATGTTCTTTTTTCCCTTTTGCCTCAAACAATGTATAATCACCTCTCTGCTAAGTTCCTCACCTATCCTGACGTTTGTAGTATAGTCCCTGCCCCCAAGGAACATACAGGCCCAGTTGAAAGTGGATTCATGCATATGCAACGATTAAGGAACAATACAAGATAGCATATAATTAAGCTTTAATTGCTGCACCCAGACTAAGGTGGCTCAGAGGAAAGGGAAGTGAGTTCGGCCGCTACAGCCCAGCACTGCCTATGTGGCGGAGGTGTTCGGTAAATGTTCACTGAATAATATGAAATAGTGAAAGCTTTTTACACGAGGTAGGACTCCCAACTAGCATATAAACTCCATTACAGTGCTTCAACTGCTAGATTTTGTAAAGGAATGTTGGTGCTGGGCTGAGTTTATTTTCCTTAAAACATCTAGTTCAAACTTGTAACCAAACCTCTGTATTTTTTTTTTTAAGATTTTATTTATTTATTTGAGAGAGAGAGAATGAGAGATAGCACGAGAGGGAAGAGGGTCAGAGGGAGAAGCAGACTCCCTGCTGAGCAGGGAGGCCGATGCGGGACTCGATCCCAGGACTCCAGGATCATGACCTGAGCCGAAGGCAGTCGCTTAACCAACTGAGCCACCCAGGTGCCCCAAACCTCTGTATTTCCCCAAATGATTGAACTTTAATAAAATGGAAACAATCATTCATTTGACAAATATGTGAGTTCCTGCTGTGTGCAAAGTGAACCAAAAGAATCTCTAAGTTTGAACAGAACCCGCTGCTTATACTGTTTGAGACAGTCTTGTGAACCCAGGCCAGCAAAAGGCATGTGCCCTCTCACGATGTCTGTACTGCACGCATACCCCTTTCCTCTGCAGGTACATACTTGCAGAGTGTGCATTCCAGAGTTTTGCACATTAACACAGACTCGGAGAGAGCTTCCCATCACAAACAGCCATTACCAAACACATACCCAGCACTTAGCACCCTCACAAAGAATCCAGGCCCTGTCCTAAAGACACACTGAATAGTATACACATTACACAGAGCAAATTGCAGAAAGACTACCTTGTTGGTTTGCCATCTTGACTCCCCTATGACTAGAGTTTGCCCTTCCTGGAGGCTGTCCCGTCCTAGAAAAGCCCTTCACCTTGCTTCCTCCCATACCCTAGCCCCCTATTACAATGCAGGCATCTTGTACCTCTTTCCCATCAAAGTCGTTAGCTTCTTGGAGAGCATCTCCCATTAGGTGAGGTTAAGCAAAGCAGACCCAGGCTCTGCCTCTCATTATATGGACACATTTATAGGTGATATTTAGGGCAGTATGAGCCTGAGATTGCCACTATCCCCAATCCCCTGTGTAACCGCTTCCAGCCTCGTCCCCCCCCACCCCCATTCATTCTTTACTATGGTCTCTTTCCTCTGCTTGAAACTTTTCAAAGGCTTCCCATAGCTTTTATAATAAAGTCCCAGCAATGCTCATTCAGATCCTTCATGGTATGGCTTCTAAGTAATTCTCCAGCTACTACCTGCCTCTCTGCTTCTGCCCCCTTCACTCTGCACTCCAAACATGCTGCACAGAACTTCTGTCCTCTGCCTGAACAGACTTTTTCTTTACTTGATACATGCTCTTTTCTCTGCCTGGAACACTCTCCACCCCTCTCTCTCACCTCTTTTTACCTGACTATCCCTACTAATTCTTCAGGAATCAGCTTAGCTAGCACTTTCTGGAGCCTCCAAGACTGAATCAGGTGCCTCCCCTTTGTGTCCAATAGCACCCTATACTTTCCCCCATTGCACTGTACTGAGATCTCCTTTCTCTTGTCCTAATCCCCTATAATCCCCTCAACCTTCTGTAAGACCAAGGAGCAGGTCTTGTTCTCCGTTGAATACCCAACATTTGGCACAGTGCCTGGCCTGTAGTAGGCACTTGCTAAACATTGATTAATAATGAATTGCTAGTTGGACCGAGGAAATGATGGGAGCTATTCCATCCATGGTCTGGGCAATCCCTGGCACAAAGCGCCTCAGATGCTCAGTAGACTCCAGGGCTGGTGAAGACTTTGTGACCATTTATTTAGAACAGGATGAAACCTATGGAATGAACTGAGTCCTCAGGTTCCACTCCCACCAGAGCTTTATTTTATATCTAACCTGGTCTCCTGAGCTCCAGACTCTTGTCACCAATTAATCACCTACCTGGGTGTCTCCACTTGGGTGTCTAATAAGATCTCAAATGTACCATGTCCAAAACCAGACTTCTGATTTCCCTCCAAAATCTTCTCCCCATCTCAGTAAATGCCAATTCCATTTTTGTCCGTCGCTCAGGAAACAAACAGACAAAAACTTGGAGTCATCCTTAACTCCTTACTTTTTCTCATGCCCCACATCCAATCCACCAGAAAATCCTCTTGGTCCTGTCTATGAAATATATTCAGAATCTGGTTCTGTCCCCACCATTTCCAACACTACTTCCCCAGCCAGACCACAACCTCCCTGACCTGGACTTACACAAGAGGCTCCTAACTGGTCTCCCTGATTTTTCTCTTGCCTCCCTACTCAACACCATGGCAGCCAGAGTGATCCTTTAAAACCTAAGTCAGATCATATCACTATTCTGCTCAAAACCTTCAGTGGCTTCCCACCTCCCTCACTATAAGGTCCTACCTAGTCTTGCCCCAGTCAACGCTCTGGCCCCGCTGCCCACCACTCTTCCCTGGCTCATTCAGGGCCAGCCACATTGGCTCCTTTGCTGTTCTTAGACCCGCTTCCAAATCAACCTTTCCAAGGCTATTTCTTTAGGTTGGAATGATCTTCCTCCAGATACCCATATGACTTGCTCCATCCATCACTTGATTCAGGTCCCTGTTCAAATGCACTCATTTGAAAAACACAGTCTCTGGCTAACCTGTCTAAAATAGCACCACCCACCCATCCCTTGGCCCCGCTTTAGTTTTCTTCCTAGCACTTGTCATCACCTGACATCCTGTCTCCATCCACTCGACTACAGGTTTAAGGACAGTAGAGACTATTTTTTGTTTCCTGCTATACCCCCGGCTTCTAAAACAGTGTCTAGCATTTAATCAACATTCAAGAAATAATCATGAATTCCGGGTCTGTTTAGACTACCAAAAAGTTACCCCCGAACCAGGTCCCTATCCACTGCTTTAGTCCCAGTGAATCCC